GGAGGAGCTCCATGTGCGAGCATTTCACCCTGATCGGGGGTGCTGCCAACCCCGTCTCCGTGTGCCTGGGGGATGTCTCCTGTCTCCCCGTCTCTCCCAGTCCCTGCTCCCCGGTGCCACGCTCCTCTTGTCCCCAGGTCACGGTGAGTGTGAAGATTGAGGAGGCGGCCTCACATGAGATGCAGCCCACCCGGGCGCTGCAGGAGCCCGGCGATCCCTGGCCGGAGCAGGCGCGGGCCCAAACTGCGGATGTGCCTCTGGAGGAGGCAGCGCAGCGGGACAGCCCAGGGCCTCGGGACCAGCCACCTCGTGGCCCCAGAGAGGAGCCCATGCCGGACCTGGAGTCAGGTGAGGGGCCGGGTGCGGGCTGGGGCGTGGGTCTGAGTTCTGCAACGGTTGTTCTCCATCTCCCCCCTCTCCCACACGCCAGAGCCTCCGGCTGCTGCAGTCACGGGCCAGTACAGGACAACAGCAGGGCTTTCCCCTGCCAGCAGCACCCGGCCTGAGCCGTGCATTGTCTTCCCCACCCACAGGTGCAGGAACCACGAGCAGAGCTCATCAGCAGCCTCCTGAAGAAGGGCCTGCAAACCTGGAGCTGCCGAGAAGTACCCCAGGGAGGCTGGGGGAGAGGGGCTCCCTGAGCCCTGAAGGGATCCAACTGCAGCAGGGGCAGGGGAAGCTGGCAATGCAGGTGGAGAGCACAGAGGTGAGCAGGGCAACAGCTCCAGCGGGGGTGGGAGTGCAGCTGGGGCTGTGCTTGGGAGGAGCCAGGGGGCCTGTCAAGAGTTTGGGGAGCAAAAAGAGCTAAGAAGCAACAAGTCTCTGGTGACAAGGTGTGCAACCACACCCAGCTGGTGTTTGTTGGAGCTTGCCACCAAGGCTAGCCAGGGGTGCTGGCATGGGAAAGGCTGGCCATAGTCGTGAAGCCCCTGGCTCTAAAGGTGTGCCTTGCTCATAGAATGCGATGAGCTGGTCCAAGGCAGACACGTGGCCCCTACGTCCACAGCTTCACCGACATCCCCTGTCAGTGCAGCATTTTGCACCCCTGGGTGTCATGGCCCAGCCTGCAGAGAGGTGTCGCACAGAGGGATTATGGATAGGGTGGCTGGGGCTGGAGGCACCTGAAACAAGATCACTGATGGGGTAACGCTTGTGCCTGCAGCTCCCGGAGGCCTTTGAGGACGTGGCTGTGTATTTCACACGAGAGGAGTGGGAGCTGCTGGAAGACGCACAGAAGGGGCTTTACCGGGACCAGATGCTGAGGAACTGGCGAGCCCTCGTTTCCCTGGGTAACGCTGTTTCCTGCTTCTCCCTGCAGCCGTGTCAGCGCTGACCCTTACTGTCTTCTCCCTGCTTCTCAGCGCTCTCCTCCTTGTGGACTTTTCCCTGGGGGTTGAAATCCACATCCTGACAAAGACCATCATCCATGAAAGGCTTCTCCGTGCAGTGCTTTCTCTAAATGTTCACCTTCCCTTATCCTTCAGGGCTCCTGTAGAAACCTTGAGTTTGTTGGATCCATTCCCCAAATCCCAGTTAGTGATTTGGCATCCAGTACCCAGTCATGAATGCTTTTTAACCACTGCCCCAAACAGGGTATCGAGGTTCCACCCCTGACTTAATCCACCGCATTGCGCGAGGACAGGAGGAGCTCTGGGTCTGTGATGATGAGGACCGCGGGGACATCTCGAAGTCAGAGGACCTGCTGCTAGGTGAGTTGTGGCTGCCCCTTGCCCTGACTCCCCTCTCAGAAATGCCCCATGACCACAGTGACAGGAGGTCTGGAACATGCAGACCTGCCTAGCGCTGTCCTTACAGGTTTCTGAGTTTGAATAGCTTATGTAGTCATGTGTCCAGGCAGGTGTTGTTCCCATGCACTGAAATTTGAAGCAGAGGAGACAAGCATCCCTTTCCCTTCTTCTCCCCCTAACTACAATTGTCATGGGAAAACAGAGTTTGCTATTTCAATCTTTTGGTACAGGTTTGGTTCCCTTTGAAACTAGTGTCTTAAATTTCTGTCTTCATTTTGCAGTGTAAAAGTTGATTTCCGAGCCCAGGGTAGCCATACTTCTATAGCACCCTCTTCTGAGGCATGATGGGATTTTTAGTCTCCCATGGAAATCAACATGGTGGGGCAAAGCTCTGTGTAGCCATTATTGTAGGACGAGAGAGAGGGCTGGGGCCCTGACTTGTGCCTCTTCAGGTCGACCTGGAACTGAGGAAGTGTTGAATCCTGGTCACGGGCTGCATTAAATGGCTCCACGGGTTGGGTGGGGTTCACAAGCTTTCATGTTGTAAGAGGAAGTGGATCCCCTATAGCTTTTGCCTTTGTGTTTAGTCTCTGGGCCATGAGTGTCACCGAGCTTGGGACTCACTCAGCAGAGAGTCTGTGAAGAAATCCTCTGCTCCTCGCTTGGGTTAGCCCGGGTGACCCCTCTCCCTCCCTGGTCCTTGTGGTTCATGCTGGTCAATCAGGTGACCTGGCCAGTTAAATTCCTAGGGTGATCGGGGAGCTCTCTCTTCTGGTGATCCTCTTGAAACTACAAGCAAGCACCCCAGGCAGTGGCCTGGTAATTTCTCTAAGTAGAAACCTGGAAACCTTCTTAAGCTAGTTAGGAATTTAAGTATTGGGAAGTCGCATCTAAAAAGGGTCACTGTACTCAGATGCTGTCAAAACTCAAGTTGCTTTTGTTTGCTCCAAGTGTATTCCAACTATCTCATCCAAACTGCCCTCCCCCCACCCATTGGTAAAAGTGTCAGGTTACATCCTGTGTTATTGGGCACCAAAGGGGGAAGAGGCCTTCCACTCCCTGCCTGGCTAGCAGTTTCTGTTTTTATTTTCCCTCAGTTCTTCCCTCATGTTATCTTGAAATGCTGTGCACTGAAAGAAGCACCCAGAAATATTACTGTGAGCAAAACACCCCCTAAGTTCGTGGAGTCTGTGCGCCCCGGGCTGCACAGAGTCCTGCCAGAGACCAGTGCCCGGGTACTGGCAGTGTTACCCTAGGCTTGCAAGGTTTCTGTAGAAAGCAGGACAGCTGGTTGTAGGCTCCCTGAGGGAGACCTTTGAAGCAAGGTTTTGGGCCTGGCACAGTGAGGTAGGTAGGTGTCTACATATTAGCACCCCCCTACTGTGCCACCACAGAGTCCACATGCAGGTTCATGCCAAGGCATTTGTCCCAGGACAGATATCAGTGACATGTGGGCCACCTGGGCCTCATCAGCAGAAGAAAGCCACATGGGCCTGTTCTAATCTCCAGACCTTCCCCTGGAAGCAGGAAGACGGCACAGCCCTGTTCCCTCCAGGAAAGAGACCCACAGCTCTAAGTCCTCCCCTCTCAGAGCAGGTTTTAGAGGCAGGAGGGATGAACCACATGGACTTTCTCTACCATGGAGAATCAGTTGGTAGGGCCATTCTCCCCACACACCCCTGACTTCTGGCAAGCCCCAGAAATCCACTGCAAGGCTCTCCACCCTGGTACCAGATACTGCTCTCAAGACTGCCAGAGATGATGGGCGAGCACTGGAGGCCAGTCTCAACAACGCACTTTGGCTTCAAAGCATTTCAGCCCAGCCAGGTGGAGGGCTAAGTATAATCTCCCCGTGGATCCGCCAGTGCTGTGGGATAGAGCAGCCCTTAGAGAGACTCCTTCCTTTATGCTGATTCTGCCTTTGGTCTCCTGGGCCCCTTAGAGCAGGAAGCCCTTCAGGTCCTGTCCTAACACCTGTCCCACATGGGTTTCTCCCAGCAGGGTCTGAGGGGATGGTGCTGAAAGCTGGCCCAGAAACCCTGAGCATCTGGCTTTGACCTCCACTGAGCAGAGAGCATTAGTCCAGCACAGGAACATGCCCCTCACTCACCACCAGCACTTGGATTTTAGCAGGAAGACCTTGTTCTCTTCAAGAAAATTAAGTGCCACAGGTCCAATCATGCTTGCAGGCCCATGACAACGGAAGGAATCGCAGTGTTTGGCCTGTGCCATCAGGGCAGGGACTAATCTGGAGTTTCTCTTCCCCATGCAGGAGGTGCCTGGCTGGTGAGCAGAGCTGAGAAGCAATGTCCTGAAGAAGGGCCTGCAAACCTGAAGCCACCCCAGACCCCCTCAGGGAATTTGGGCAAGTTGGAGTCCCTGAGATCTGAGGAAGACCAGTGGCCCAAGAGCCAGAGGAGGCCCCAAAAGCCAAGGGAGAATATAGCGGTGAAGCAGGGGCCATTTTCCTTTGGGTGTGAAAGTGGAGAAAGGACCAGAGAGATCCCTGGGCACAGGGAAGGATATGTGGAGCTGAGGAGCCATGAGGCAAAGTTTTCCTGGAAAAAGACCCTACATCAGAGCCAAGCCAGTGGGGAGGGTCTGAGAGCAGAGCAGGAGGTGCCCACCAAGCCCAGGGGCAAAACCCATCCCTCTCCCAAATGCCAGAAAAAATGTAGCTGCCCCTCACAATGGGCTGTGCCACATAGGTGCCCTGAATGTGGAAAGAACTTCACTCGCTCATCCCACCTGACCTTGCACCGGCGCATCCACAAAGTGAAGAAACCACATCAGTGCTCTGAGTGTGGGAAGAGCTTCACCTATTCCTCCCATCTGGTGCGACACCAGCGCTTCCATACAGGGCAGCAGCCATATCAGTGTCCTGAGTGTGGGAAGAGCTTCACCCATTCTTCCCATCTGGTGCGACACCAGCGCATCCATACAGGGGAGAAGCCGTATCAGTGCTCTGTGTGTGGGAAGAGCTTCACCCAGTCCTACAACCTGGCCCAGCACCAACGTATTCACACAGGTGAGAAGCCATATCACTGCTCTGCGTGTGGGAAGAGCTTCAACCAGTCCTCCCATCTGGCCCAGCACCAACGTCTCCACACAGGGGACAAGCCATATCAGTGCTCTGTGTGTGGGAAGAGCTTCACCCAATCTTACAACTTGGCCCAGCACCAGCGTGTTCACACGGGGGACAAGCCATATCAGTGCCCTGAGTGTGGGAAGAGCTTCACCTACTCCTTCAGCCTGGCCACACACCAGCGTTTACACACGGGGGAGAAACCACATCAGTGTCCTGAGTGTGGGAAGACCTTCATGTATTCCTCTGTTCTGGCGCGACACCAGCGCATCCATACAGGGAAAAAGCCACATCAGTGCTCTGTGTGTGGGAAGAGCTTCACTCAGTCTTCCCACCTGGCCCAGCACCAACGTATCCACACAGGGGAGAAGCCATATCAGTGCTCTGAGTGTGGGAAAAGCTTCACCCAGTCCTTCAGCCTGGCCACACACCAGCGTATGCACACAGGGCAGAAGCCATATCAGTGCCCTGAGTGTGGGAAGAGCTTCACCCATTCCTCCATTCTGGTGCGACACCAGCACATCCATACAAGGAAGAAGCTACATCAGTGCTCTGTGGGAAGAGCTTTACCAGTTCCTCCCACCTAGCTAGGCACCACAGTATCCACACACAGGAGAAGCCACATCTGTGCTCTGAGTGTGGGAAGAGCTTCATCCAATCCTACAGTCTGGCCACACCAACGTATTCACACAGGTGAGAAGCCACATCAATGTTCTTTGTATGGGAAGAGTTTCACCTAATCCTCCAGTCTGGCCAATCTCCAGAGCATCCATACAGGGGAGAAGCCACGTCAGTGCTCTGAGTGTGGGAAGATTCAGCCAGTTCTCCAGCCTGGCCAGATACCCATGAATCCACACAGAGAGAAACAACATCAGTCCTCTGTAAGGATAGCTTCCACAAATCCTCCCCTCTGGCGAAACACCAATGCATCCATACCCGGGAGCATCAATAATTCTTTCAGCAGTGCATATGCTTACCTGCTCAGCTCCCACCACTGGCTGCCTCTAGACAAGCAGCCTCCTGCTGGAGTTCAGGAGGAGACAAGCCCAGATGCTGAGGGGAACAGCATGTGAAGGGATGATCTTTATATCAGTCTTGGAGCCTGTGCCTTCCCCATCATTCTCTCCCCAGGGAGAAGCACCTCCCAGGGTGCCCTCCCCAAGACGGCTAGCTCCAAATACCCCTAGGGCCTGTCCTTGGCCACCTCACCTGCTCTTCAGGTCTGCAAGAAGCTGCTGCTGCCACCCCCTGAGCCTAGTCTGCCAGGTTTTGCTTCTCAGCCTCTCTCCAGTACCCTGCTCCCCTGCTGTCCTGCGCTTCACAGCACTCTGTAATGCAGTTTCTGCTCAGAAAGCCCCAGCGCTGAACATGGTATCCTTGTGGCTGGGCTCTGTGCCCTCTCCAGAGCTGAGAGTCAGGAACCAACCAACCAGTACCCATAACCCTTTGCAGGGCAGATCTCCCTATCCCTTCTGTGGTCTAGGGTCTGCTCAAACCCTCAGGCGCAGGTGTCAGTCACACTCGAGGCCTCCCTCCCATGTACTGCTGTGCAGCAAGGACCCTGCCCTTTGGAAGGAGCGTGCAGCCAGAGGAAAGACGAGTGCTTTTTCTGTGGGAAATGTGGGCAGGGGGAAGGAGGGTGCAGCCTGTGGCAGGTCCTGCCTCCTGTGGAAGTATGGGAAGAGTAAGAGGACATCCTCTAGGTGAAATGCAGCATGTTGTCATGTGGGAAATGTTCCCTGATCACTAGTATCCCAATACACCATGTCCCGTGTGGAAGAACTGACTTTGGCTTTTGTGTGTGTCCAGCTGAAATACAAGGTGCCAGAGACATCCTGGGTATAACACCCTGGGATCCTGCTCCAGCACCGCCCCCTGCATTCCCCCACACTGCCTTGGATGGTAGCAGAGAGACAATCCCTCTGGGACACTAGGCCAGCTGGAAAGGCAGACTGGGAGATCTGCCTGATTTGAGGGCACAACACTCAGCCCCTGTGCATCTTACCAAGAACCACTCACAGCTCAAGCTGCCTCTGTCTCGTCACTACACAGAGAGACTGGACCCAGGGCATGGTAGACACAAATGGGTGCAAATAAACACTAGACTTGTGTGTCTCATTTCTCCTTTTGGTCCAGGGAAGTTTGCTACCTCTCTTGTCCAATGCCTAATTCCATCCAGGTTCTCCGTGGACCTCAGCAGCACCTTGAGGCTGGGTTTGCAGTCCCTGTGGGGACCAACACCTTTAAAGGTTTCTTGAAAGACACACCTGAGTGTGGTGGTGTGGGGCCAGTGTTGCCAAGTCTTGCGAGGAAAAGAAAGTGGTATTGCCTTTTAAAACAAAACCAAGACAAGCCCAACCCAGGTCAAAGCTAGGGGGTGGGGGGTGCTTATCAATCAGTGAGGCAAACAAAGTGACCCAGCCACTAATTTGGGGTGATCTGGGCATAGCCTCAAACAAAGTGACACAGCCACTAATTTGGGGTGATCTGGGCATAGCTATGCATGTGTTGTGCTAGGTGTCATTCCCAGGCTTCTAGGCTTTGCTGGTTGCCACATGCAGCTGGGTGGGATTCCTGCCCCCCATCCACTTCTGCTACATGTCTCAGGGGGTTTCCTGTTTTATAAGCCTTCCTCTGAGGCATTGAGTCCCTGAGGTGTGCTGAGCCTTCCTGGATAGGCTGGGACAAGCCTTTACATAAGAATAGCAGCAGTCTTTATGAGCATTGCCATCGCTGGTACTATTATTATGACTGGCTCCATGGGAAACCTTGAGGGCTGAGAGAACACCTCTGAATGAGTGAAGAGCTCCTTGAGTACACTGGCATTCACGCCAGCCAATCGCCACCATCTTCTGTGGCCTGATCATTTATGAATGGAGTTGGGACTATTTTTTGGCCAAGATCCAGATGTGCTCATAATCCCCAGCTGAGGAAAGGGGTGGGAACCATTCTCATGGGTGTACCATATTATCTTGCATACAATACACCCCAGACCCCTTTTTTGCAAGGCAGAATATAGAAGAAAAAGATTTCTTCAGGGTCCTCCTGGGAATATGGTGTCCAGGAAGTGTGGTCCCCTGGTTTCGGCTGCCTCACCCAGCCTGTCTCCTGGGATGTCACACTCTGGTCTTTCCAAGAGGGCTCGGCACACCAGGCGAGCCCCGCCACTTGGCAAGAGCAGTAGCAAAACTGTTAGCTCTCTGCTGTTAGCTTTCAGAGGGTCTGTTTTGTCTACACAAGATGCTTTACTGTGCAGTAGCATAGCTTACTACGCAGTAAACATGCTTACTGCGTAGTAAACCTAATCGGGACTAAATTTGCTGCTTGCAAATACAAGTAGCAAATTTACTTGTGATCACAGAAGCAGGCCTTTCCAGGAGCAGTGCTTTCCCCAACCTTGGTGCCTCCGAGGAAGGCTTTAAAACCCCCCCTGACACATGAAGAAGAAAGCAGGGGGTCGGTGGGGGTAGATTATCCTCCCAGCCAAGTCCAGGGCAATTGCAGCACGTGCCTGCCCTCCACTAGAGCTAGGCAGGGCTCAAACCCTCCTGAGTGATGCACGTTCCAGGTTAGGGACACCGATGACTCAACAGCCCTCCCTCTGAGGTCAGACAGGCCTGAGTCTGAATGGAAGAGCAAGGCCCTTTAGCCAGGAAACCTCTGGGTTTTATAAGGATCAGCAGGAGGCCCCAGGATCGGCTGTGGCGAACACCCTTAGAGCAGGGCTGTCCACACCTCGCCCCGGGAACAGCTGGCATGGACCTGCCTAAACTGCTCCTGCCAGGGGCGGGGAGGGGGCTGGGGTACTTATCCTGCACCCAGGGCTTCCTGCGCTGTGTGGCACAGGGGGGTGCTGGGCACTCGGTGTTAGGGAGGGGGTTAATGCCCAGCTGTAACCCCTGCCTCGGAGAAACAGACAAGAAGCATCCATGGAGAGCGGCCTGGCCCCAGCTGGGGACCTGCAGAGCCCGGAGGCCGGGGCAGAACCGGGTCTGGAGCAGGCCCTGCCCGCGCCTGAGACGGTGAGGTTGAAGGAGGCAAGCGGGCCCTCCTCGTCCGCTCCCTCCCAGCCCTCGCCCGTTCCGGAGCCGCTCCCCGCCTGTGTGCGACGTCCTGTGCGGATGTTGAGTGCTTGACCCCAGGATGTTCTCAAGCGCTGGGAAATAACGAAGCGGCAGGGCTTGCTGAGCGGAAGAAGAAGGGCTGGAAAGCACGATTTCCAAACCAAGCCCTGCCCTGTCGCGGGGGTGGCACAAAGCACGCCGCCAGGTGCGACGCCTTTGCCCAGCCCGGCCCCAGCGCATGCGCAGCCCTGGCGGGGGGGGCGGCACAGCAGCCGATGTGTGCGCATGCGCTGTGGGCGGAATGCCTTCGGAAGGACTCAGAGCGCATGCCTGGGCCGAGAGTTGTGTGGGGTGGAGGAGCGGGACTGGAGGCAGAGCAGTTACTGCGCAGGCGCCGCCGGGCCGAGGGGGAGCGGAGGGAGCGGAGACCCGCCAGGTGGGTGTAGGGGGAGTGCGGGCACCACCGGGGGCTGCTCCAGGAGGCGGCGGGGCGGTGCAGGGAGGTGGGGGCGGAGCTGTGGGGGGC